ATATAAGAAACGATAGCTTTCTGAAAGGCCTGGACTTCGTGAAAATCGTTGGTTTTAAGATTTAGAAAGCAGTAAGCAGAAGCAAAGACTAATGGAACTGGAGCTTAAAGCAGCAGCAGCTCTGAGTCTCTTTGCAGTAACTCTAGCTTGAACTACTTACTTAATTCTACTATCAGGATAGGTCCCCAAAAAATTTCTTTAAATGTGGTCCCTTTTCCCCATACAAAATGCCACCTAGTCTAAATTAGTCTTTGACCATTAATTTCCCAATTTTTTTTCTTTAAATATGGTCCCGTTTATAAAACTAGTGCTCGGATTAGATAAGAGTGAATGTTCCGACCCCTACGTAATGCTGCGACATGTAGAGGTTTGGACTGCTTTGCGAACAGGAGCCCCGCTAATGCTAGGAGATTAGACATGTGGAAGTTCTTGCAGACAAGACCGCACACTTTTGGGCCATCATAACAGAGTTGTTTGCCTGTTTTATAATTCCGTTCTCCCGGAAGCCTTTCTGTTGCACTGAAGCAGCAATCACCGAAGCATCCATGCCCAGACCAGAATAGCCTTCGTGCTGGAGTGCATCCGCTCACGAGGGCATCCATGCCCAAATCCTGATAATTAATAGTCATGCTCAGGTGCATCCAACCACTGGCCATCTTTGCCCAGACGATTCAAAGACGTGTGAGTACATTTCAGAGAATCCATGCTCATCTCAAAACTACGTCCATGCTCGAATGCATCTAGTCGCTAGAGCATCCATTCTTAAACCATGCCCACCCTGCAGAGCATACGCTCCTAGCGCATTCATACCCAAACCACTCTATGCCCAGACCATCCATGTGTTAAAAGCATCAAAGTCGTACTGGCCAAATACGCCTCTTTTTTCCTTGCCTAGTCCACTCTGTAATGGGACCATCTAAAAAGCACATGATTTGGGAGTGCATATTGACTTTGGCTTCTGCTGCATTGTTGTGCTACGTTCTGAAGACAGAGATATCTGACGACCCCTGGGCAATGATGAAACAAGCGTGAGGTGCAAGAGTTGTCCAAGATGCGAACGGGACGGCACTGAAGTGGCCAGCCCGCAACATTCCATACTGATGGGAAAGCTCCTGCAAGATGCTAGCTGAGGTTTAGGGTTTAAGGGCAGCATGGTTGGAAAGATATGGATAGCATCCTGCGTTGGGCAGAGGTGAGGGAGTATCCTAGCTCCTTGGAGTCACATAGAACCTCGTGCATGAACACTTTCAGAGTCAATAGACAGTTTACTGCAGGACCAACCAAGTTTGCGGAATGGCTCGAGCTGTTTGCAACCTGTGGAGCAATTAGCAGGCAAAGCTTTCTGCAGCACCCTCCAAAGTGCAGACATCTCATGTCAAGACCGCAAGGCTAAATGATCCAGAGATGGTGCAGCGACTGGCGAATGCCAGGCAACTGCGTATTCGGCAGCAAGCACGCGAGGAGAACAAGTGGAACGTGGCATCTTCGGACTAATTGAATGGGTAGCTTCTACAGGGGGTTGTGATCCTGACGCGGTATGCTCAGAAGTTGGGGTTCCGCACTTCGTGGCGCACCTAGACCAAACAGACCACTTTTGATTCATCATTCTGGTCATCAGGACATGGCATATATGGAGTCTTTTGGGTTTTGCACCGGGCTGTCCGCGAGTTCGGCTAGTATGACTATGGGGGATTGTGGGTTGACCCGACAAGACTGAAGAGAAACCTTGGAGCACAAGAGTTGAACATGATTCACACGGCTGAGCGAAGGCATTGTCTGGAATGGGCGAACAAGTGGTAAAAGCATCTGGCAACCAACGATTGCGCCTACAGATGGAGCATGCCGATTTGCTTTACAATGCCGGGTTCTGGGAGGAGGCTCTGGAACAGATAACTGCAGTGCAGAAGGCTGTCCCTGACAATTTGGACGTAATCCTGGCCGTAGCAAAGATCTTGAGCAAGGTGGGTCGGGTGGAGGAGATCATGGGCCTCGAGAGCCTTGTGAGGCGTATTTGCATCCTGCTTGTCAAGCAAATAGTGTTTAGCTCCGCTGGGTGGCATAAATACCCAAGAATCGACGCCAATACGCTTCTTTGAATATAGTAGAACGAAGTACCCGAAACCTTATTCTAATTATTCACGTCCCCACCTGCTCTGAGGTTGTGATCCAGAGGATTTCCGATTGGAGTGCGAGCTGCTCTCTCGGCTGGGCAGGTATAAATCTGAAGCGGATGCGGCTCTACGGCAAGTATTCTGTTTCTTGTTGCCTACTGGAATTGGCCAAAACTCGCTTACCAATAGATCCTCTTTGTCTACGTAGGCCTTGGTTTTTGCAGACTCCACGGGAAGGGGGGTGTGGGCAGCATATTCAAATTATGAATGGGGCTCAGGTTTTAGGGCTCGGGGCTTCGAGTTTTCGCTTTAGGGTTTGCGGGTTTGGGAGTAGGGTTGGGAAGCAAGAAGCCACTCGGGGCTTCTTTGGAGTGTTGCTGGTTCTTTTTTCTGTGTCCCCACAGCGCCAGCCGTTGAAACATATATCTGTATGTTCATATGTCAGCCACTTGCTATTGTAAGTTGTGTATATTCCACCTACATATGACAGCATTCTTACAGGCTTCCGTTGGGGCATATAAACCGCATAAGCGGAGGCGGCTCCACCAGATGTCGGCACCGAGCGAAGAATCGAGAATTATGCCATCTGGCGCTTGGACTCCGTTGCCTGATCTTTTCTTGGTATGTAGCACAAAATTTGCCTGAGTTTCCTTCCCCAGAATTAATACCTATTTCCCTAAAGGTTTACAGTATCCTGCATGCAAACCTGCAGAGACCAGCAGCCAGGTAACTCTGGTGTCCAAGCATTCAGCTGTCTACCACTTTACCTCGAAGGACGGACATTCAAATCCATTTGAAGACTCCAAATCCGTAAGCTTCTGGATTGACTAGAGGGGTTGGAGGGTGCTTATGATCAAATACACCTTCGAAACTCTGATGTGTATGAGCCCGCAATGCAGTTTCAATATAGAGTCCCTGAACCAGTGCAGTCGTGCCGTACGAAATCTCTCAGCCAGCCCACAAAACCGAGCCCAGCCGTCCACAGCAGCCCATGCAGGACCCTAAGCTTCATTCAAATTCATATAGCGTGTCTCCAAACGAACCTCATGAAGGACCGCATACGTGGCACTCCTAATCCACGGGGTCGTGGACGAAGCATTTGGCCCAAGACGTGGCATATCACCTTACTGGCTCCTTGGTACTCTGGAATGGATTACGGATACCTCATGAGGGGTCTCTTTGAAAGAGCCCTTCCGTCTTCCTTTTGTTTTGATCAGAGAGAGGACCTTACTCAGAGAGCCAAAATCGCCGGAAGTCTCCCTAAGCAGACGCCGCCCCAGTGGGATGGTTGTTTAATAGATGACTTTACGACTCTGACTATGGGAGGTCGAGATTCCTCACGGACCCAAGACGATAGTATCCAGCCAAGGCTAAAGTGGGTGCCAATGCCGAAGGGCCCCTTGGTTGGATAGAGCGTGACTACACGCCCATCAGCACCTGCCACGAATCCCGGCCATTGTAGCATGAGAGCGTTGTCGATTTTCATCCCTGGAACGAGAAGGATGAAGAGTGTGAAATCACATCATTTGTTTTTTACCCATGCAATCATTAGTTAGATGGCAGCTGAGGTTTGTCAATCAAGCATCGCCCTGCGCAGATAACCCGTTTTTGATGTTAAACTTCGCCCTGAACCCGCAATTCGAATCCACCATCCTGCACTGTCTTCACCGTACCCATTCAACAATCAAGCCAGCAGTGGGCCCAGGAATGGGAGCAGGGGAAGTGCGACATTTTAATCAAGATCTACGGTGACGGTCAGGCCACCTCCTGGTTGAGGGAAGCTTGCAGGAGCTTAAGGTCGGGGGCCTTTGCCTCCTTCAAGGTCTTCGAGTCAGGTAGGTGCTAAAAACCCCAAACCTTCAACCCCCTGAAGGCTCTCCAGCCCTAAACCCTATTATAAGTCAGAAAACTGAGCAAGCAAGGAACAGCCTCTTGGAAGCCGTATCTGGCTCTCTCAGCCTATGAGGACTTTGGGTGTTCCTAGCCTTGTTCCCAACTTGGATGCAAGCGGGCTCATTTGGCATAATATTTTCTTTGTTCAATTTGGAGGCTTTCGGTATGACATAGCCGGCACATGGAAGTTGCATTGCCCTTTTGCAACGCAAGCCTTGTACCTCAACCCACTTTTTCTGCGGCTTTAGCAACAGCCGAGGAAACAACGTTCCGGCCAGCCAGCTACCTTCTACTGCTGGCGGGGACTGGCATCGTAGTAGCTGCACAGGTCTTGCATCACGCTGAGCCAGGCAAACCAACCGCAAGTTGGGCAAGTTTGGAATTTGGAATTTAGGGGACTTGCAAAAGTAGGATTTCGTGTAGGCGGTTCTCCACCCATCAACAGAGATATCAAGGGAGTTTAGGAGTTAGGGTTTAATAGGGGAGGGGTATAGATGGACTACGAGTTATCCCCCTGCATAAAGCCAGCTTGTGGAAACAATGCTCCGGAAACACCTAATCCCCTCCTCTAATACCAGCTTTCATATGCTCAGCTCAAAGTTTGAGGGAGTATGATAAGACTACCCCCTTTAATCCTTAACCTTATAGGCCATAAATCGAAGCTCAGCCTAGGCAAGTGCTTCGGCTCCTTTCCAGTCCTCACTTCTCCAATCAGGCTCGTGCAGTCCTGCCGGTCAGATGATGTTCTGATGATCTCCGAGCTGCTGGGCCCTTTTTTCTGTTTCAGCTATTTCTTGTAGGGTCTAAACAGTGATTACACGTATACGGCGGTGGAACAGGCGGATATACGGTAAACCCTATGGTTCTTCAGCTGCCTTGCTCTGCTGGCTTGGGTAAGTCCTTGGCAGCAACTGTTACTCCTTGGTGCTTCAGTAGGGAATCTGTAGTACACATACAGATTGGCAGTGGTATCCACTCACTCACTGCGTGCCAAGCACCAGGCCAGGACTACAGCAGCTCCGGAACGCATTCAAGACCTCAACAACAAGCTAGAAGGCATTGTCGTCTACCGTTTTTTGCCTACGCCCTACAGCAAAACACCCAGGCTAGCGGAGAGCTGTACAAAGGGCAGGCTGCAAAGCTGGGCGCTTTTCGTCACAGAGGCGCGTGTCCAGTGAGTAGGCGGTTAACCTTCTATAGGTCCACGCTCGGAATCCTTCATGCTTCTCAGGGTATGGTTTCTTCATAGTTTGCCACCTTTTTTTCTTAGGGGAACGGGGATTACCTTCTTTGTGTGAACCCCAACACAATCCTGTAGGCTTTTGCATGCAATATAGCACCCAATATCAGATCAGCCAAAATCAAAGCTGGGCAAGACAAGTACGTTCTGGACACCTAGGCCAGAGCTGGGATGACTCCCTTTCCGGAGGCGAAGGAAACAGACCTGTCCAGTCTCGCGCAGTGCTCGAATGTAACTCTGCATGATTCGCGGCTCTCAAGAGACCTGGCCCTTTATCCTACTGGTGGCTGCTGGAGGAATGGATCCCCTGTAGAAGTCCTTAAGCCCAATATTCAGCAATCCTTATGTACCATTCCATCATTCCCACGCCAACCACCAGTAACTTGTGGAACCGAAGTGTCAGGTTTGTATGTGGTGTAGCCGTCACCCTTTTCATGAATGGGAAGCCCAGGAGATTTCATTGGGAAGGAGTTGCAGATGTGCCAGAAGCCATGTAGAGTGGCTAGGTCTGCCAGCGCATTGCTTTCTTAATTTCCTGATAAAGCCAACTGGGCCAACCAATATGAAAAGACTGCCAAGAGGCCACCAATCCGCAACCCTACATGGAATTAGTAAACCCCGCATGTTGTCGCCCTCATTCTGTCGGCCACTGGGCAACCTAGGTTGTGGTCTCAGGGCCTGCAAGCTTCAACGCCGCCTGTAAACTTACTTGTCCAGCACGTAACCTTTGACATTTTTTATGAGTGGCTAGAAAAGAGTAGGTTCTAGAGATTATTGTACGGATTCGAAGGGGAATGCTACCCATGCCGTCATTCAATACTAACCGCCCGTGATGTTTGGTCTGGTAGAACCAGTAATAACGATCAACAGAACAACCAAGCACACACTAGATGCTGGACCCCCAGGTAAAACCATGCTGCAGGAGTTGGCTTGCGACCTGAACGCCGTCACGATTTTAAGCGCTTAGTTTGAAAGAGGGAGGGTATGTCTGGGGCCTCGTAAGGGTTCGGCAGCGTCGTTGTGAAGGTTACAAGGGAGATTATAGGGTCCAGGAGGTATTGTGGTATTGTGGCTAAGCGATGCTAAGCGCTTAGATTGACTTAGATGAACCGTATGTTTTAGAGGCCGGGTGGCCCGAAGGGAACGTTGCGGAAATTATCATGCTTCATGGCGGCCGAAGGCGAAGCACAACTCCTGGCTTGATGAACGTCACTTGCTTTGGCTTGCACGCTGCTTGCACGGTATGCAGTAAAGGTAGCCCCCATTTCTTGGTCACCCTTTTGGAATTGGAGTTCTGTAGTGAAACGCATCTACCTAGCCGTTCTGGCTGCTACATGGCCCAGGAGGTACAAGTAATCAATTTTGTTTGCTTCCCTGGAATCTCAGGGGATCGGAATGCGCAATTTTGGGACAGCCAGTTGTACAGATCTGAAGCTGGACCTCTGAGGGGTGTGTTCCGAGCAAAGCTCCTAGACGGAAAGAGATCGCAAGAAAAGAGTGATCAGCATTCATTCGGAAGTATCTTCCCGCCGGTGGCCAGCGGACCTTAGACGCTGAAGCAGACCCCCTTGCATCCTACAGGGTATCATGGAAATTCCACATGCCCACCCGGGCAAATCCACATAGACTAGCTTCTCTGGTCTTGCCTGCACGCTGTAAGATGCCAGAGCGTTGGAGCTAGTTCAAGCTCCTCAGAGTCTCGCCTGGAAGAACTTTTGCGTAGTGTTTGCCAACCTGAGGTTTTTCCTGACACAGGACCGGGGCATTCGCAGGGAAGTTGAGGGGGTCAAGCTTCCGTTTTGTACGTTTACAGTTTAGCGTCTAGGTGGAGATGACCTAAGTATATTGGTTTCTTGCAGGTAGGACCTTGAATCATGATATGTGTGAATCCCTTTTGCTAAGCTCGTGGAAGGAGCAGGCAGATCAGCTCAATCAGTGCAGCAAGCTCCAGTTGAGAAACATGTTGCCAAGATTGAATCAGGCTGTTTCGGGCTTGGCGTTGTAGAGTTGACTTGGCTTTCTGAGCGGTGAACAACAAGCTGGGAGTTTGTACCCGAAACTCCGGGAGGGCTGTTGGGATTCAACGGTTCTGTTGCACTTTGAAATTTCCATCCACATGTCCTTTCTTTCTACCCTTGCAGCTTGGTGAGGATTTCGTTTCAACCAGCAGGCTTGGCTCGAGGGTTGTTAAGCAGATGGTGGCGCACCACTCCAGTGAAGCATCAATGAAGCCAAGTTGAAAGGACGTTCTGCAAACGACAGTGGGCCTTGAATCTTTCACGTTTCATGTTGGAATCTTTTCCGGCCAAAAGCAGAGTCTATAATTTCATCTCGTGCAAGAGGCGCTGTAGCAGAATTGTAGGCCCCTAATTCTGCCTCGCGGCACCCTTATACCACTGAGCCGCAGCGTCAGGCATGAAGCCTTGAACCCAGAGGTGAAGACCTTTGTAACCCCCGAATCCCAAGGGTCCGTTACTGTAGGGTACCGTTTTGTTGGGGAGACTGACTAAGCTCACCCTGAACACAGACAGGAGTCGGCCAGGAAAGAAGACAGCTCTTACGTCATTGTGCCTTGCTGCGTAGTCGTGATGCCGGGGCCTCTGGTTGCGGGGTTTGGGTGTAGGAATGCTGGGGGATGCAACCAGGACAAATGTTTTTTGTGGTTTTGGAGTAGCGTTTCATACGAACAGGGAGGGCCTGACTGGCCCAGGTGTCTAGAATCTTATGCACAGAAGCAGTTGTCAGAATGCTTTGGCTCTGAGATGTTGGGCTATGGGGGGGACCGTGTGACCTCTAAAAAGAAGACTGCTATGGCTCCTGCTTTTATTCTGCTCAGCGTCGAGAACTCAGGGCTGAGACTTCAAGATTTACTAAGACCCACAATGTTCAATCTAAGCCATGGTCGGTCAGTGTAGGAACTGAGGGGAACCCTTTGAACAAAATTCGTTTCCAGCGGAGCGGAATAAGAAAAGAGACTTCACGGCATCACCTGAACAGAAAGACTAGCGCACATAATCTGATGACCAACAAGGCAGCCGCCTAACAATTAGTAAGCATGCCCAGGATAGTATTGTTATGTCAATGTCACCCGCCGCAGAGCCCCATCAAGTCGGGCCACATTGCTGCCCAGCTTGTCTTGTGAGTTCTGGAGATGCTGTAGAATCTTCCACGCCCGCAATGAGTCTGTTGGTGGGGAAGTTGGCTGTAAAACCTTTAAGCGGGCCTCTTGAAATCAAGCTGCCTCTTGAGCATCCAGAAAACGTCATGTAGGCGGTGTGAATAGGTTCGCATCCTAAGCGCACGTCCGGATGTTGATGGCTCCCATCTCAGGGTCCTTGCCATGAAGCCAGGACTGCATTTGAGCAAGGGTTCAACAACAAAGTGTCCCGAAAGTGCATGTCTGTATCCTTCACCAGCTTCAGGTACTCATAACTCGGAAACCGCACCTGCGCTACTAGTACCTGCTTTAGACCCAGGAGCGTTTGTTCCCCTTGAAGCCCGAAACCTCCCCAAGCCACGCAGATCTCAGGCTTTACGTCTGACGCCTCAGAGTGGGATGCAGGGTTCCGGTTTTATTAGGAGTGGAGGATTGCAGTGGTTCATCGGACGCTGAATTTCCGTGTACACTTTCCAGTATTTCGTTCCGTACTTTAAAGGTACTGACCTACCGTACACTCACGTCAGGCATGGGGAGTTTGCCGTGATTCGTCGACAATGTGTTGAGGGTGCCTACTGATACTGCCAGAATGACTAGAGGACTTTCCTGGAGAAGGCCATTCAAGGTCTTGTGGAGGTAGGCAACGATTTCCCAATCCGCCGTCTTCCAGTCACTATGTGCAAGTGAGGCCTCCCCTAAGCAATGAAACCTGAACACTGAACATCACTGACCGCTCTTAACGTAGACCCAGATCTCAATTGGAGCCTGGAATGTATGTCAAACCGTGTGAGCTCACCTTGAAGCTCCAAAGCTTCAGACAGGCCTGATGTAGGGGTTTAGATAAGGTGCTTAGGGATCTGATTTTGGTTTAGGAAAGTAATTAATGAGAATGCGTAGTGGGGAATCAAGTGGAAAAGAAAGTGGAGAACGAAATGTGTGGACCCGGGAGGGGGGGGGGATTTTTCCTACAGTTTCGCAATGACTACAAATATCGGAATGATGTTGAAATGTATTCAGGCTTCTACATTACTTGTCAGAAGGAATCATTTGATGTTTTTCGGTGTTGCATGAAGCCGAAAATGTATGTTAACACGGTGGTTGCAAGACAGCCCTAGATACTGATCTCTATTTGGGGGTTCCGCATGGTAAGAAATACTGAAACGGGGTCCTTATGAAGGTATACAGAGCCGCATTCAGGAATGCGCAGTAAGTGGATCGACAAAGACTTGGTCATCAATGCGAACTAGGAATTACCGTCTATGGACCTCACATGTTCGTGAAGGCCCTGTCACAGGAGGAAACCAGATGATGCAAGGAAATGCTTCGCAAATTGTTATATGGGCCCACCCCCACCTTCACCTCAAGCAAAATCTAAGTTTCCGAGCCATACTGTTGATGTTAAAACCCCTCATGACCTTGGTCGCCTTGGTCTAGAATACCAAACCCATCAAGCAGGATTTGGTATCAATGAGCAGGGCTCACCATGGAAAGGATGCTTCCAAGCCGCTACAACCTCTGTACAATTTCAGCCATGAATTAGTAAAAAGCCTGGATGCGGTCTAGGAGCACAGGATCTCGAAGTCAACAGCTACCTTCACATCATGGAAGCCCTGGTAGAATCAAGATGTATTGCTCCAAACCCAAAACCAGAAACACCAAACTGTGGACCCTAATCGGCCCCAAGCGCTGAAGGCAAACCTTCCAACCTTCCCAGGGCCAAACAGCTCGCAAATCAAAGCACAAAGCCCAAAACGCTCCTCTGCCTCGAGTTGACTGACTGGGGTCATGCAGCCTTCCAAATTTGATGAGGCAACACTTCTCGTCATTTGTGTCAAGAAGGCAGGGAACCAACTAGCTTCGCAAAGGGGAGATTCCGGCAATCCAGCTACCATCAGATACCTGTGCTGTATACATGTTATGCCAGTTCTGAGCTGGAGCCGTGCAGTCGTCTTCTTCTATACATTACCTGGTGCTTAGTAGAGACTGGGGTAATGGATGTATAATGACTTTTGTGGTCGTGCCTATGAGCCACCTCCATGCAGATACAAACTTGGCGAGAGGGCAAACTCCACGTCCCCCCGCGCAGCCTCTTCCCCCAAATCCTACCCGTAATTATGCTTTCTGCCGAGCACCAGGCATGTTCCTGCAGGTGGGTAGCATTTTTCAATTGAGCATTAAGACCAAGATGAACTTCATGTGTGTTGTGGGAACCTTCAAGCAAAATATACATAATCCTGCAGTAAAAGCCAAGAAGTTGGAACATCAGTATCCTCCTGCCCCAAGACCTAGGGCCCAGAAAATGGAAAAGTGCCATGAATCATCTTGCCTTCCCCCCTTTACTGTACTTGGCTTAAGCAGGCAGAAGCCCCCAATCCTCAACCCTAAAACTGCCAAAACCTTTGACACCTGGAACATCCTGGAACCCTGATGTGAAATACAAATCACACAAATTTGGAACAGTGTAGCTTCCCCACAGCCGAGAAAAAGACCAAAGGTGGTAAGCTGCCTCGGGTTGAAACGACCATCCCTCGAGCCGTACAGTTCCGCAGCGCCCTCGAAGTATTCGAGTTATCGGTTGTTTTTGGGGATATACCCTAAACAATATGAACCTAAAAGGTCACCAGTTCATGCATTCAGAGTTTTCAGCTTGAGTACTTCATACTTTCAGCATGAGGGATGAGGATGAAGGGTTGACGGGTCAGTTTGTGGCGTCTTGAAAAGCCTTACGCAGGGTTAGGCGCGGCTTTTGCCATTCATCTTGGGTACTGCCCCCCTCACTAACAGTTGGATAACAAATATACTATGGTTAT